ATGAATTGTCAAAAAGAATACACCGCCTTGGTACGGGCTGTCATTAGGTCCCATAAGTGTGGCTCGCCAATGGAACACATCATCCCCAACGAGCCTGCAGAACACTGCGCTGGAGGGTCCAGGGCCAAGTCACTAAGTTCCTTATTAATCCGCTTCAGCGCCATGGTCCGTGCTGTCCCGGCCCTCGGTGTCCGTGTGTGCTCAGCCCCGCCACGTCTCGATGGTCCTCAGCTCTCAGCGGCGCAGACACGGCCTTGGTACGAAGGAGGCGGGTCTCGCGAGAAATGCACGGCAGCCTGACCCGAGCTAGAGCTCTGCAATGACTTAAGGGCAGTTTTGTGCCCCAAAAATCATTTTTAACCTTGTTCCACTGTTTCATTTTAAGTAATGAATGCAGTGGAACTGAGGGCCTTGCCCTTGCTGTGTAGGCTCTTGCGCCATTGAGCTGTATCGCCAGCGCGTTGTGACAGTCTTGTCTGTGCAGACTTGGGGCACATAAGCATTCATAGCTTATTCTGATGCTTAGCACAAGTGCGCACTGAAATTTTCTTCGGTAAGTTACTAGTTTATTGGTACTTAAGTGTATTGTGTGCCTGGCGTCTGTTGTGGTGCACAGGCACACAGGGAACCAGATACTTCTTTGTAAGCTAGCCAGTCTCCTTCTGAGAAACCCATTTTTCTTTACTCATTTGGTAGGTTGCTTTCCAGATGGAATCGTGGAGCTTTTCCTGTGGGTCCCTGTGGCATGGCTGCTGTAGGTCTCCCTTTCTTTAGCTGATTTGTGGATGGGACCTTCCTGACTCTTCATGAATTATGGATAAACTTATTGTAATTAATTCTCTGCTCCAATTAGCTTTGGATGGCACTGACCTTATAGATTCTACTTGAGATATTTAATATTTGGATCATTTTTAGTCTTCTCCAACTACAAATTATGTATTTATTTAAGCTTTCCTTTTTATTTTTACAGTTCCATAGTTTTTCTCTTTTGAAAGTTCTGAAAATATCTCATTTCCAAGATGTTGTTACATTGAGAATAATTTTGCATAGTATTTTTAAATGATTTTTCTTCTGAGATGAGAAAGGTTTTTTTATGTTATATGGAAGTTAGCAAATTTAATGAAAGTTTCAACCCCTGGGGCATGCTGAGATGGCAGTTGAGACTGGGTGTGGTAGTGTGTGCCTGTAATCCTAGCTCTTGGGAGGCTGTAAACAGGTGGATCACCACGAGTCCAATCTAGTAGTGAGATCCTAAACACCCTGTAGACCCTTCCCTAAAATACAAAAAAAAGATAAAATTTAAAATAAATAAATGAAATAAAATTTAAAATTCGTTCATTTCATTAGCTGCATTTCAAGTACTAAACATAGCTAGTTAGTGCTGAGTTGGCCACACAAGTAGGAGATGTTCCCGTTGTCACCAAAGGTTCTTCAGGCAGACCTGGCCTAGATGTTATGACATGCCAGGTAGAGGCCCTCGATGAGTCTCCAGCCCACGAGACAGTGTTTAGGGCTTTTGTTCCATTCCTCAGGGATTTGTCTTCTGTGTATAAACTCCCATATCCTCAGTCAGGTGGGCTCCTGAGATTTTGTTTTGATGCTTAGTTTCCTTTGAAACTCTGTATTGGAAGTTCATTAGCTAAACCCATTTTTCTGTTTTGACTTTGTATCCTGCTGCCTTGCTGATTTCATTTATTGGCCGTAACTTCTTTGGGTGTCTTTTGTTTTGGGTTTGTTGTTGTTGTTGTTGTTGTTGTTGTTTTTGTGTTTGTGATTCGTTGTTTGTTTTGGAGGGTGAAATCTAGCTTTTTTTTTACAGGCAGGATCAAGCCATCTATGTACAGAGAAATTACTTCTCTGATTTGTATGCCTTTTATTTTTTTAATTAATTTTCTTTTTGTTTAATTGCTTTGGCAAAGACTTCCAGTACGGTGTTAATGACAGTAATGAGAGAGAGCATCATTGCTGTGTTGCTGGTCTTAGGGGAGAAGCTATCCGTCCTTCAGTGGGGTTGCTGTGGGCTTTTCATTAGGGTCTTCGCCACGTTGAAGACGTTTCCTTTTATTCCTAGTTTATTGCATTGTCTTATGAAGGGATGTTGAATTTTGTCAAATGCCTTTTTTAATAAATGCCTTTCCTATGTCAAATGAAATAATAGTATGGTGTTTTTCTTAATCTTGTTGTGATGTATATGGACAGACTTTCAGATGTTAAATCACTTCATTCTAGGATAAAGTGGACATGGTCATGGTATGTAATCCTTCTGTTCTGCTGCGGTATTTGGTTTGCTAGTACTTTGCTGAAGATTTTTGCGTGCGTATTCATATAGGATTGTTGTAGACTCAATAACAGCATCCCCATAAATTTATAAGTTGAACTGTTAACACCCAAGGAGATATTAGTAGACGACCTTTGAAAGGCAGAGCCCTCATGCCCTTGCAGAAGACACCCCAGAGAGCTCCCCTGTCCCGTAGATCACATGTGGGTACAGGGAGAGCTCATTAGTCAGGATGGCTCCTCGTCTTTGTGAATCTGTCTCACCGTGATCTGGGACTTCCCAGTCCAGATGCAGTAGACAGGGACATTGGCCTCTTCTGATATAAAGATTGCCTTGTTTTGCAGGTGGAAGCTGTCTCTGACAAATGGGAGGATGACAGCAAACAGCATGGCAGAGAACTCTCAGATTCCAGGCCCCGAGTACTGATTGGCTGTGTGACTTCCCTGATGGAAGGGGCTGGCTACATCAATCAAACCACCTACTTTTCTTTGAAGAATGTGTGTGAAGGTAGCCAGATGGGCTTCTGTTATGGATTTAAAGTTAGGCTTTGTGTTTTTAAAAAAATTTTATGAATTGGTTTGAAGTGGCCACATATTGTTAAAGGACTTGGGTTTGTGTGGCCTCATGCAGGGGCTTGGGAGTGGTGGGTGGGGTTTGGGTGGGTTAGGGGAGTCACTGTTTAAACTCATGCTCTCATTTGTTTTCTGTTCCTTTGTTGAATGCAGTCACTGCTTTCCACATAGTTGTTCCCTCCACATAATTACTAACTTTCTAATCTAAATCAACAGTGTCCCAGCTAGACAGAGGTATGTAAGGTGTTTCACATCTTTTAAAATGGGGCTTAAGGATCACTTTGTACCTTTATAAGAGTATGTAACCATTTTGAATGGCATCTGTGTTTAGCTGATGTATTTTTATGCCCCCAAAAATAATTGGTTGATGTCATTTATAGAGTTTAATTCCATGACTGCTGTTACGTATCTGTTCTCTAGAGTTGTGAGCGTGCAGCCAGACACTGGGAGACCAAGATAAGCGAGCCTGCTTTTCACAGGGAGCAGTGTGCATGCACCTGTGGCAGAGAGGGTGGGGTCAGAGGTGCTGCCGGGGAGCTCCTTCTGTTCTGGGCTCTTCCCTTGTGTGTACGCGCCACATTAAACCTCGAGCCTCATACGTGCTGGGCAAGTGTTCTCCAGGAAGCTACATCTCTGGCTCTTCTAGATTTGTATTTTGGCACCAAGTCTCACTGAGTTGCCCAGGCTGCCTCAGATTTTCAGTCCTCTTCCTCTCAGCCTCCTCAGTAGTGGGGTCATAGACATGTGCCACACATGTGGTGGGGGAGGTATGTTGCCTGAATTTCTCCAGCCTGGCATGGGCCTCATGTTTTAAAACAAGGTTTCTGCTGCCTTAAGCACAGTCAGTCTGTGTTCAAGCTGGGTGTCAGGGGCCAATTGGCTCAGCCCAGCAGGGTCTTGATTGCCAGCTCTGAATCCCCAAATGAAATTAAAGCTCTCTGGGACTTTGAAATGTGTTCTGTCAGCAAGTGCTCACTTGTTGGGAAGGAGGTCTGTGATTGTTTGCTCCCCTTGACCATGATGACCAGGGGCTGCCCCTAGGGTAGCCTCATGGAGAGTTGTCCAGGTGGAGAAAGGAGGGAAGTTTTACCCTGTGGATACTGATAGGAGCTGCTGAAGAGAAAAGTTTACACTAAGAACTGAGGACAAACTCAGGCCTGTGGATTTCTTGGTACCAAAATATTCAAATGAGACAAAGTTAGTTCCTATTGAGGCTGAAATATGCTTAGAGATGTGAGAATTGCTATGAATACAATTGCGACTCGGTAACCATAGCAGAGGAATATTCTTGAAAGTACAATGAAAAAAATGCGAGAGTAGAAATCGGAAACGGGTCAGAAAATGTCCGCAGCAGGGCAAGTAGTAGCTCGAAGTGCCCAAGGCCTCCCTGCGAGCCCCGCCCCCGGGCGGGCCGCCACATCCTGAGAAGCGTGCGTATGTCCATACAGCTTCGACCTTGAGTTGAGAAAAGGGGACATTGTGCTAAGCTTTTCATGTACTTACTGGGAAGTCAGAAGGTACAGTTTCCTTGCTGACACTAATTCAGTGACCTACTCTGCCAGACACTTCATATAATTCACATCATGATAGGCGGGAGGACAGAGAGCAACAAATGAGCGTGTAAAATGCAGAGCTTTCTGGTCTGCTGGACACACACAGTGTGACGGGGTCAACTGGTGGGATTCCTTCAAGTCCAGACAGGCTGGGGCAGAGTGGGTGAACTAGGGTGTGACGGGGGAGTTTCTCAGATGAGCTGGCCAGGTTGAACTGTGGCCTGGGAGTGAGTGGAAGCTGCTACAGTGTGACTCGGGGGAAAGGAAACTTGTGCAGTCTTAAAAGTGCAGGATCCCTTCATCCTTGGACAAGCTTTGCACCACCCCTGGGATGGTTAACATCAGTGAACGGAGCCAGGTGGTTTATTACTGTCTAGTGAACCTTTCACCTTTTGGGTGAAGGCAGCTAAATAGAACTGGGCACTCAGCCAACAGGGCTTCTTACCCTCGGCACCCTAGCAGTTGGTCCATATTGTGTACACACGCACACACACAGAGTTACAACCTAGAATGTGTGTGGAATGTTGTCAGATAGCCCCTAGGGGCATTGGCCCAATGCTTGGATCCCAAATGGTGAATGGTGGCCTGAGAGCTTTGCGGAAGCCTTGCTTAGGACTGGAGTTCAGTGCCAGACCTGACCCAGGAAGTTGGCCTTGTCTCAGGTGACTTCTTTGGTGACCAGTGTGGTGCACTGCTGAGGTCCTCAGGGTTTTGCCAAATGCCCATGATCTCCCCTCCATCCCTACCCTCCCAGCCCCACCTCAGGTCCTTTATCCTGCGGAGCCACATAGTCTCCACAGTACTTCCACGCCTGCCTATTCTCCACACCCTTCCCAGCCCATCCTGGTGGACAGCTCAGCCTTGCTCTCAGCACAGGAGGAAGACTCTGTGGGATAGGCAGGGAGCAGGGCCAGCTGAGCAGTCCCTGCCAGTGCACAGTCAAGTGCAGGGGACTGCAGTTCGTTCCCCAGCTCCACATGCCTTACCAGATCCACCCTTAAGGTAGCCTGAGTCAGCCAAAAAAGAAAAAATTCTCTCAACTATTTTAGCGCAGTTGTTTTCAGAAGTACTGTATTTTTTCCTATATTCAGCATAAGTAGGTATTTAGTTTTATGAACTAAAACTTGGCAAATAAACTGTCTCTGTGATTTTTTTTGAAAATATCTCATTCATCTCATTGCAGAACATCAGCTTTTCCAATTGAAAGTAACTTAAAACTCTTCAGATGGCTGGGGAATCCTGTCAAAATTCAGCATTACCGGGCTGGAGAGATAGCTCAGTACAGTAAGGGCCAGAGTTCAATCCCCAGTTCCTCCAAAAAAAACCAAATAAACAAAAATTCAGCATTACCTGGGCGTGATGGTGCATGCCTGTAAATACCAGTACTTGGGAGGGTGAGCAGGAAGATTGCAAGTTGAGGTCAATCTTGGGAAATTTAGCAACTTAGTAAGACCCTCCCTCAGACTTTAGAAAGGACTGGGGCTACCGCTCAGTGAAGTCTGGGGTTTAGTCCTCAGTGCTAGAAAAGAAATGTGGGCATGCACATATACATGCACACAGCACTGATTCTGTTACATCACTAGCTCCTGGGTCTGATTGGTTCATTTCCTCCATGCTTTTGTGTATTTTTTTTTTTACAAATTTTATTCTCAGAAACTGTAATTTGCCAAAGATTGTTGGTTCCATGTTTATGAAATACTTTGCTGAATGATCTCTAGATGATTTTGAACAAAGTGTAACCAGGTTACAGAGAGGAACATTGGAGTGGGGCCCTGGAGTCAGTAGCGCATGTGTAAAACACGACTGGTGAATGCAGCGAAGAGAGCACAGGGTAGCCAGAGCCAAGGCGTCCTGTTAGCCTTGCCATGGCGCTTACCCATGTACTCGGGGACCTTAGCCACCGTGCTGCTTTGGCCGTTGACAGCAGGCTTGGAGGCAAGGACTGTATCTCTGCCACAGTTCCTTCCAAGTACCTTTGTGCGCGTAAGTTACCTAACACAAGAGGATCTTTCTTTCATTATACTGCCTTGTCAAACCAGAATTTACATGTTCTCACTGTGAACACAAATTCTTTTATCTCCATTGTTGGATTTTTTCTTTCTTTTCCATCGTGGATTTTTAAATTAAGTTTACAGTAATTTTCACAATATTGTCAAATATTTTTCATTCAACAGAATGCTCTTCCAGAAGTTTTACTTTGATTCCATAATTCTGACTTAAAAAACTCTTACTTGCATTTTCTTAACTTTGTTATCTTTTAAAAATAATTTTTCAATTAGCATATTAAGAGGTATTAACTGCACCACTCACTGTGCCTGTGAGCACAACGTGGTCACCAGTGTCACTGAACTGCTCCAGTTACCACCTGTCCCGAGCCATCGGGTCAGTCAACAAAGGTCACTTGGGAGAGGAGCAGGGAATTGAAGAGGGGACAAAGGACAGGAGACATGAGAAGTGGAGACAAGACAGGATTCTGATCAAGTCTTCTTTATTCAGGGGAGGTGCTGGGTATATATAGGGGGTGTAGGAATGAGGAAGTCTCGGCTCTTGGGGGTCAGCAGGTATCTAGGCAACGGGGGATGGTGCCACCCCTGGGGCATAGCACATGATTCACGGGGAATGGGCAAGGTGAAAAGGACTCAGCAGGAGAATAGAAACTTAAGAACGGCTGACACTATTATAAAATGGATACCAGTTAATGGCTTCCCACAACTACCAGCCCTGCCAGTCTAAGACCAGGCAGCCCCGTGTGACCTTCAGGATAGGCCTGGCCTCTTCCCAGATCTCTGTAGATCAAGGAGCTGCCAGGCAACATGTGCCCCTCATCCCTGGGCTGGAATCCCTCAGTTCCAAGTGTATTTTCCTCTGCCCTTGAGCTACTTGGGTGTACTCCTGATAGGCAAGTGGTACAAACAGCCTGTCTGGAGGAGTCAGAAGGAGAGGATAGGTACCTGCTGCGGTCTCAGGTATGCTACACGGACGTGTGTACTAGGGGCCTTAATTCAGCTTGTTTTGCTGCAATGGGTGATTCTTTGTTTTTATAAAAATGGAGAACCATAGGTATATTCTGAATGGGGCTCCCGAGATAGCGGGCCTGACTTCAGTTGTTTCTGGGCCCTTTCCCCTCCCTTCTGGGCCAGGCAGGCAGAGTCTTGAACACTGCTGGTACATTTAACCAGAGTTTGGCTAAAGGGGTATTATAGTCAATGAATATATTTCTAATGAAAACAAGAGTGAGCATGTTCTAAAATGTTTGAATGTAGGGATAAATTCAGTGTATCACAACCTCATTAAACTGTATACGTGATTTTCCTTCTGGCCATTTCAGGGTTCCAGCCATGCAAGGGGGACTGGGTGGAGGCTGAGTACCGGATCCGGCCAGGTACATGGAACAGTGAGGCCATCACAGTGAAGCCGCTGAGGTACAAGCGTGTGGACAAGGTAGTGTGCTAACAGGTGGCTCTTCCCCATGTTTCTGCCATCAGCTTTCTTCTGTATGCACTGAGAAGCTACATAAATAAAGCTTATGATTGGCTTATTTCCCTAGGGAAGTCGAGACGCCTCAGTGCTCCCATAACTAAAATCGAAGTTGCAGTGTATGTAGGAATACGCCAACATACTCTCAGGAGCAACTGTGCATGCAGAGATTGAGGGATTAAGTGGGTAGGGATGGGACTAGGAATTCCTCTAAGAAAGTATAGCTTGGGGAGTGAGTTTGCACTGTGATGAGTTAGCACAACCTTAGCTATGAAAGTAGAAAGGGACTATCAGTCACTACCACAGCCCTGTCTCTCAGCTCGAGCTTCCAGGCCCCTGCACATCTGTGTTACTTTGAACCTTACTAAGCATGGGTGATTTGGGCAAGGAATGAATGGTTAAACTGCAGGGGCAAAAGCATGTTAAGAAGTGCAGGTTGAACAACAAGTATAGATTAGTGAAGCCTGCTGTATCTGGCCGTTGTCCTTCCCTTTTCCCAAGAAAACAGCTTACCCTTAAGACAGCTCCTCATCCAGACTGCTATTTCTCTGCCTTTTTTTTT